CCACTCCTCCTGTCCTGGCGTCGGGTGTCGGTCGTGCTGCCAGCCCCCTTGCGGGGAACGGTCTGGGCCGTCGGGTCTCGGCGGGTCAGCTACGGGACGGAGCACTACACGTCCTACAAGCGCCAGCCTGTGCAGGACAGCGCGTCGCGCTTCGCCATCGTCATTGTCGCGGGGGGCGGGCGGGGAAGAGGAGGAGGAGGCGGAGGAGGAAAATGAAATGAGGGAAGAGCGGGAGTCGGTGGGGAATGGATGAGAGGAGGATGAATAACCGCAAGCCCGCATAATAAAGCATACCCCACACTTCCCAACTGAGAGTTAATTATGACGGCGGGGCAATACATTTGGGGCGTGCAACACATTCCAGGGCGCAGATGTACTGCTGGATCTTCGCGTGCAAGACATTGTTTGCAATACGATGCAATACAATTCTCCGGCGCAGTACATTTGCAATACAATTGCCCCACATCTATTGCATCACCCCTTTTCAGCTGGACCCCTTTGGGGTCACCCACACTGACGCCGTCGGGCACCATCCTGGGGATCTTTCAACACCGAAAACATCTCCCTGCAGCCTCGGAGACGTCACAAGTATCAGACCGGCTGTTCCCCGAGCCGCTGTGGAATTGTTGTTCGGGGGGCACATTGGCGATGGACAAGTGAGCACAATGATAATCATACTACTCATTACATGAATAATCATAATAATATGAAGCAGCATAGTGGTGTCTGAAAAGTGTTCTTTCAGCTCATCTCAATTATTTGGGGCCTCGTGAGTGTTTGTTGCTGTAATGTTAACGAAGTGCTGGGTCATGTTAGGCCAGAACTTGGCCAAGCTATCGGACTATGTGCTCCCCGAGTTTGTTTGGAAAGCCTTCGGGGAGCACTGGGTCGAGAATCAACGCAATGAGGAATTCGATTTGGTCTCATTCACAGATCTTGATGGTCTTCCTGGGCTGTCCACAGATAATTGGACCATTCCCCCAAGCATCACGGAAACTCTTCGTGGAACGTGTGGGGGGGGAAGAGGGAATGCGGAGGGGGGGGGGAAGGCAGGAGCAGAAAGAAGAGGACATTTTTTGGGGAGCTTCTTCGGTCATTCTGGGGGCCTCCTCGGAGCTTCCTCGCGGTCTTTGGGACACCTCTTGGAGGCCTCCTTGAGTTTCTTGTAGTCTCTGGAGGCCTTTTGGGTGCCTTTGTGCCGTCTTCGAGCGTTCCTGGCTCATCTGACGCCGGCGAAAACCCCCTTGGGGGCCTGACTGGGCCGTCTCGGGGCCCTCCTTGAGCCGATTCACAGCCGTCTTCGAGGTCTCTCGGGGGTCTCTTGGGCCGTCTTGGGTGAGGCCATCTTTGACTATCTTGGGTGCATCTTGGGCCGCCTTAGAGACCTTGCGGCCATCCGGGGCTTGCTTGGGGCGCTTCAGAGCCGTGTTTGAGGCCATCTTGGGCGTCTTGGAGGCCTCTTGGCCAGTCCTGGGGCCGTCTTGGAGGCCTCTTGGGTCGTCGTAGAGCCATCTTCGAGACCTCTTAGGCGATCTGGGGCGATCTTGAGGGCCTCTTGGGCCGTCTTGGGCCCTCGGAGCACCGAAAACATGCACTAGCCAGACACTTGCAAAAACCTAAGGTTTAGTCGGGCCTGTCCCTCTACAGGAGGAACATTCATTTTTTTTTTTTTTAAAGATAGCCTGGGGACTATTTTTATTGTATTTGTTGACAATTTGGGAGTCTGTTTTTGAATATTTTTGCATTTTTCGCCCAAAGTCCCCCTGTAGGGGGACAGGCCCGACTTAACACCAGCCAGACACTTTCAAAAACCTAAGGGCAATCAATGATTGTGGTCTCTCCGGCCCTCCCTGGAGGCCCTCTTGGAGGCCTCTTGGGCTCGCAGGCGCTTCTTCGGCCGTCTTGGGCTCTTGCGGGCCCCTTTCGTGCTCCTTGGAGGCAATTTTGGGGGCTGTCTTGGGGCTATGTTGGGCTCTCTTGGAGCCACCTCGGCCGTCTTGGAGGCATCTGGACCACCTTGGAGGCTACCTCGAAGCCACCTGAGCCGAAGCGCCGACGAGGCAGGCAGCCAGCGCGCCGTGCCGGTCCGCAAGAGCCAAAGACCTGTCAGAGCGTCCAGCACGCCGGGTTGCCCCTGTGGCAAGCCAACCGGGGGAGGGCTCTCGGGGACCTCTTGGGGGTCTCCGGGCGGTCTCGGGAGTCAGCTCGGGATCTCGGGGCGGAGGGCTCGAAGTGTCAGCTCGTGTTCCCCACTCTTGGGCTCCTATTGGGACCCTGTTGGTGCCGCCTTGGGGACCTCTTGGGCCGTCTTGGGTACCGTCTTGGGGCGGCAAGGGGTGCCCTCGGCCGTCTTGGAACGTCAGAAGGCAGAAATGATGAGAACGCGAAATCAATGTCAAAACACATGGGCAACAATAATGATTCTTGCCCCTTGGTGCCCTTGTGTGGTTCTTCTTGGTTGTGGCCTTGTTGGAGTTGGGCCTTGGAAACCTCTTGTCCGTCCTGGGGGCATGTTGGGCGTCATGGACCCGATGTGCTGAAAGAGGTCTAAACTGGCCAGATATTCACCGAAAGGGGACGGATGGGGAGCGCGCATTCTCACCCTGGACCCCCGCCCCCGCGGGGAAGGGATGAAAGTGAATGTGTTCCCTTCGACTCGACTGCGACCTGGCTCGATTCACCTTGGGATGGTGAACTTCCAAAGGTGGCCGCCATATAGGGATAAGAAACACTGCGACATATATGCAGCGTCTCCCAGGACCACCCTGGAAGAACCGGCCTAAAATTCGACTCGCACGCGCCCCGGTCGACAAAATTCGGGTGTACACGTTGGCAAGCAGTATTGGTTCCAAGGGGTCGTGTCCTCGACAGCGCGGACTTTTTGTTGTTGGTACAAAAGATCTCGGCCTCGAAGGTATCCTTTACCACCCCAAAAATAGGATATACATAGATTATCCCAGTGCGACCCTACCTAGGAGTTGGAGCCTCCTAGGAAAGCAACATTAGTAGGAGCGGTAAACGCCGTCCTCCTCCTTCTCCTCATCTTCGTAGTTGTAGCAGTAGCGGTAGTAGTAGTAGTAGTAGTAGTAGTAGTAGTAGTAGTAGTAGTAGTAGTAGTAGTAGTACTACTACTACTACTACTACTACTACTAGTAGTAGTAGTAGAAGTAGTAGTAGTAGTAGTAGTAGTAGTCGTAGTAGTAGTAGTCGTAGGAGTCGTAGTCGTAGTCGTAGTCGTAGTTGTAGTCGTAGTCGCAGTCGTAGTAGTACTACCAGTAGTAGTAGTAGTAGTAGTAGTAGTAGTAGTAGTAGTAGTAGTAGTAGTAGTAGTAGTAGCGCCAGAACCGCCGCCTATGCTATGCTATGCTATGCTATGCTGTGTCATGCTATGCTATGCTATGCTATGCTATGCTGCGCAATGCTATGCTGGGCTAGGCTAGGCTATGCTATGCTATGCCATGCTATGCTGCTCTATGCTATGCTGCGCTATGCTTTGCTATGCTATGTTTTTGCTTTGCCTTCGCGTTTGCCTTCACTTTTGCCTTTGCTTTTGCTTTTGCTTGGCACCCAGGGAGCGAAACTGGGGGTACCGCGGTTTGCTTGTATCTTTGCTGTTGCTTTTGCTTGGCTCCCAGGGGACTGGGGGAACCGCCCGGGGCGGTTTCCACTGCCCGGCCCCTTGAAGCCAAGAGAGTGAGAACCTGTCTAGGCAGAGCCTAGGTAGGAAATCATATTATATATAGATATTTATACATATATATATATATATATGTACACAAAGTGCGCAGATTTTTTTACGGATTTGGACCCTCAGCAACATTTGGAACAAATGATCCCCGCGGCGGCCACCGGTCAGGCAACCGCCGTTGTCGTCGTCGCCGCCGTCGTCATCGTACTCACAGAGGGTCGCTTGAGCACCCCAGAAGGTCACCGAAGGAAGCTGTGGGAACCTCAAGCTGTGGGAAGGTTCCCCCCCTCCCCTTCCTCCTCCTCCTCCTCCTCCTCCGCCTGCTCCTCATCCTCCTCCTCCTCCACCTCCTCCTCCTCATCCTCCCCATCGCCCTCCTTCTCCTTCTGTTCCTCCTCATAATCCTCCTCCTCCTCCTCCTCCTCCTCCTCCTCCTCATCCTCCTCCTTGTACGCACAGGCTGAGCAGGAGACGCCCACTGCGTGGGAGGGCGAGGGGGGGGGACGAGGAGCGGAAGGGCGTTCAACTGCCAGCCAAGAGCTGAGGGGCGGGGGGCCCTGGCAGCGTCAAAGACCCTTCATGGTAGGAGCATTGCCAGGCGTTGCTCGCGGGCCGAGGGGGGTCGTCGCGCGTTCTCAGATGCTTAGTATTTCGCCTCCGAGGAAGCTGACCAGATCATAGCTGAAGTTCATGCAGTCCCGTATGTTCGTGCCAGAACCTGATGGTGCTCCCTCGTATTGCATGCGGCATCAGAGATCACTGTATGAGTCGTCTAACCTTATCTGGTCTGTTCACTTTGGCAGGCCAGTGGGGTGAGCCGACGCAGGGCCGTGTGGTGGACGGTGTTCGATGCACGAGGCAGCTCCTCATGGGGTTGTGTGGTGGACACAGCTCGTATTGCCCCGTCGCCGAGCCGCCTGCCCAGGAGCACAACACTTATATGTGTGTATATACATATATATACATACATAAAGTTAGTTCTGTAATTGTAGAGCAGGTGATCCGAGAATCAAGGCTGCCAAGTTGCTGAGTTCCTCAGGACATTGCACCGTTGCGAATTGCCACCAGTGATGAGATTTAAGTTGTTCGGTTGTTGAGATCCGACCTTCGCAGCTTGAAGGCCACCCACCGCAAGGGATGCTGGCGGATTTCTCTTATGGTTCTTCTCATCCGTTTCCGGAAGTTGTATACCTAGCCGTTTGGGCTCAAGTGATTTTGGATTTCCGTTGTGTCCAGTGCGAGCTTGAATTCGTTAGTTCGCGCCTTCTCCTGTACCCCGCGGTTCAGCGTCAGCGGCAGCGCATTTGAATTCATGCCTGTGGCCCAGGGGTGGAAGCGAATTTCAGACATTCCTTCGGCCCCGCGCGATGAGCAGGAGGCCGATATCATCCTCGACAACGTTGGGCCATCAGGAGAATGTCCGGCCGCCAGATGGCGGGCCACGTGCCCGTTGCAGGCGGCCTTTGGAGCTCTGCTGCTCGCGTGCATACTGGCGGCGACGGCCGGCGCGATTGCCACCAGAGGGCCGCACGCGGTGTGGCGCAGCAGCGACCCAGCGCACCTTAGGCGGTTGAATAAGGGAGACCAGCCTGTGGATTGGTCCAGGTTCGGCACGATCGAAGTAGGTACGGGAAAAAACCGGGTACGATGACCGACAGCATTTCTTGTTCTTTCCGAGCAGGACTCGCTGTCGGTGTCGCCGCGGAAGCTTCACATATAACAGAAACGGCCGCCTGCCCAACAGCGGCCGCCGTCGGTGTTGGACAACATTTGCTGTTGGGCATCGTACCCATTCTGTCCGTACCCATTTCGGGCGTCCGAGCAGGAACCCGTTCTTGCGGCGAGTTGGCGAGGGGGACATCGCAGACGACATCACCGCCGCGTTCTCCGTCAGGGGTGGCTCCGCGGCGCCACCGGCGGGGAGTGGAGCTGGGAGGCCCACCTTCTCCGTCGGGTCCTTCCTCAGTGAGGGTGGTGGTGCTGATGGCACGGCCGAGGTCAGCCACGCGCAGAGGGGGGTGGGGGGAGGGGGGGGGCTTCTTATCAGCACCCCTGCTCCTCAGAAGGCGCGGGCCCTTATCTACAGATGCAAGGCCGGCGCCTTCTAAGAAGCCCCCCCCCTCCCTTCCACCCCCTTGTGCGCGCCGCCAACGAGGCTCAAGGCGACGAGGAGAGTCGCGCGGCGCTGCCACGGGAGGAGCCCCGGGACGAGCGCAGCTTCGGGTGGGCGTTTCCGAAGGCGGGCAGCGCAGCGGATGGCGAGAGGGACCACAGGGCCTTCGAGAAGCTGATTGAGGATCTGCCCAGCTCACGGCGCCTCGCTCGTGGTGCTTTCTCGTAGCCTTACTCCATGTGGCCTTGACTGGCGAAGCCAGCGTTGCGTCGGGCATGTGCCTCCAAAGGAGGAACATTCATACATAGCGAAAAAGTAGTAGATGGACGATGTTTAAAGTATTTCTTTAATGTTTGACATATGTTCTGACTATTTTTTATCTTTCGTCCAAAATCCGCCTGTAGGAGGACATGCCCGACCTGAAGCCAGCGGCTCGAGCCTGCTCTTGCGACTGCCCGCTCGGCCCCTCTCGGCACCTTCACCCCCAGCCTCATCCCCATCCTCTGTACTCGTACTGCTCACCTGCACATGCTTCTCTCGGGGAAACTTGAGACTCGAGTAAGCCGGAACGCGGGTTTGCCGACATTTGTTGACGATCGCGTCCTGGATTTTGACGCTCCGGTTTTCGTGGGATGTTTGCAGCGGGAGTTCGCGTCAAATTTCAGATTGGGTCTGGCCATTTTTTATGGTGGCTCCCTCAGGCCAACCCGAGTCCCCCGTACCCGAGTCTTACGTCTCCCCGATTTTCTGCGCAGCCCCACATGGGCGAGGCTCCCGATGAGAGCCCCTGGCTCTCCGCCAGGCCCACGCCGGCGGCTGCCATCAGCCGGGGCGACGGTTGCTCGCAGAGCGCAAGTTTGAGGTTGTTGAGCTTGGCTTTCTGCTTCGACTCGGGCGGTGCACCGCTCCGAGCCGAGCATTGCCCCACGGCCCATGGAGTTGAACGGGTGGATAGATAGCATGACACAGAAGTTCCCGCTCGCCTTGCACTGAACGTATAGCGCCCAGTAGTAGTCGAAGAAGAAAAAACGCCAGAAACGTAAATGTGTGGGTGCGTTCCGCGCGGCTTTTTTGGATCTGCGTTAGCCCCCCTGTCGGCTCCTCCAGCGTCGCCCCTGGCTCGCTGCGCGCGCCAGGCAGAGGGGGCCCAGCGCAGATCCAAGAAATCTGCGCCGAGCGCCAAAAGGTGAGGTTTATGCAGTTGTTGTTTCTTCCAGCTCCGGCGCCCCCGCCGAGCTCTTACAGGGCCGCCCCCCCCACTGCGAACATCGGCGCCCTGCCGTGCCTGGCCTTGCTTTGCCTTGCCTCTATGGCGTTTAATATTATTTGTCTTATTATTATTTTTATTATTATTATTCTTATTATTATTATTATTATTATTATTATTATTATTCTTATTCTTCTTCTAATAGCGCTCACACCGCGCCCAATAGCGCCGAACAGCGCTCAGATAGCACCCTAATGGCGTCAAGTGGCGCCCTGTGGAGGAGAAGTGCTGCGTCAGGCGCTATTGTCAGGCGATCGCAAACATGGATCAAGGGGGCGTGGATTAGCGACAGGTGCCGTTTCCATAGGAAATCCCGGATTTCCACCGCCGAACGAGGCGGCACCGGCCGCATTTTGGCGAGGGCACCTCCCCCGCCCGCCAAATCCATGGATCGCTAATCTATGTTTGCCGCTCCCGATGCTGGGCGCGCTGTTCAGCGCCACGGGGACGGCCAACAAACGTCCGTGAGCTGCGTTCCAAGGCTTGGGTTAAGTCGGGCGTGTCCGACTACATGAGGAATATTCGGAAATAGTTCAAACAACAAATATGGGGAGGATTTTCTAGTTCTTTATTATGTTGTTGCTGCTATGCTTGGGTATTGTTTTCCGTATTTTGATGGTTTCGTCGAAAATCCCGCCTGCAGGAGGGCCCGCCCGCCCGACCTGAGGCTTGGGGGGTGCAGCGGTGGGGGCGTGCTCCGCTCGTGCGCCTCGCCCGTGCCCGCGGAAGGGGGCGCGCCCGCTCCCAGACTGGTGTCCTGGGCCTTCCCGGGACACCGGAACGGGCAGGGTGGAGAGTGGAGGGTTCCTTCGAAGGGCCTAGGCGACCCCTCCTCCTCTTCTCTCCTCCTCCTCCTCCTCCTCCTCCTCATCCTCCTCATCCTCCTTCCCCTCCTCCTCCTCCTCCTCCTCCTCCTCCTCCTCCTCCTCCTCCTCCTCCTCCTCCTCCCCCATCCCCTTCCTCCTCCTCCTCCTCCTCCTTCCTCCTCCTCTTCCTCCTCCTTCTCCTCCTCCTCCTCCCCCTCCTCCTCCTCCCCCTCCTTTTCCACCCAAGCCGCCATTTGGGTTCCCTTTCGGCGCCCATTCCCAGTACCTTCCAGGGTTGCTCGAGGATTGTGCAGGTTGTGTCAGACCCACACACAGCGTGCACAGCGAATGCGGGGATTTAGCGTACATTCAGCAGGAGCGATGGTTTCTTCTCGTCAGTCCCGTCGTCCGTGGAGCCACTGCACTCACTGCAAGACGACCGAATACAACGACGCCCTTTCCAAGCAACACAATCGTTGCAGGCGATGTTCACAGCAGGTCCGCATCTTCCATCCTCGGTCTCGCTCGCGCGAGCCAGAGGACGTGCCCAAGGAGGTGCATTTCGAGGAGGATAGCTCCTCACGTCACTGTTCCCGCTCCCGCCGTGGCTCCTGCCAACCAGACATGACGACAGACCTGATCCAGCAACCCATCGACAGCACCCCGGACCCCGAAACTCAAACAATCGTACAGTTTTAGAAGAAGCACAGCCTCTCCGGCAAGGGGGAAGTTCAGAGCTCGGCCATGGACAACGCAGAGAAGGCAGACGGTCAGTGGAAGGCCGCACAGAACCGACACAACCAACTTGTTGAGCAAGTCTTACGCTTGAGGAAACAGTTGGCGCTCGCAGAGAAAGAGGATAAGGAGGCTTCCGTCGAACTTGCGCGAGCCGACGCCGAGAAACGCCAGGCAACCACCCTTCAGCGCCGCCGACCCCAAGTCCGGCACGCATGACAAGGATTCTGTATTGGGAGTTTTCGTCAACACCGAGGTTTTCCAAGACTTCGAGTCACGGGACTGCGAGGACTGCGACGAACAGACCATCAGAGCTCTCATGTCCGAGCTCGAGCAGCACAGGCAGATGCTCGAGGCCCGTGACTCGCAGTGGCAGTAGTTCATTGGCAAGTGCAAGAATATGGAGCAGGAGGCCTACGATCGCATGAAGGAGAAGCGCAAGGGGCAAGAGGGCGTCTCCACCGAGGCGCCCGCCGCCGCCGCCGCGGGCGAGGAGACTTCCAAGCCTGCTGAGGCCACGCAGGCCACCACCCTGGGGGACAAGGTGAAGCAGGAGGAGGCCATCCGCGCCGAGGCAGCTAGTTTGTCGCAGGCCAAGTTCTGGGCGCCCGAGGCCGTCCAGAAGGCCAGCGGCAAGGGCGGCGTGTTAGCCATTGGCAAGGGGCGGGCAGCCTCAGCCTCAGCAGCCCCAGCCACGGGCCCAGCGGCAGCCAGCGGAGCCGAGAGCTCCAAATAAGATTTACCTGTGGGCGAACGCACTGCACAGGGGCAGCCGCCGTCGCCAGACGGTGGATCCAGCGCATCCTGTACTACAGCATCGGGTTCCACAGACGCCAGTGAGAGCACTGGCCCCTCATCAATTTCACCTTCTAGTTCAATGTTTTTCCTCGAGCATCACATCAATGGGGGGGCAAGGCGTTGGGGCACGCCGCGTCTCTCAAACATTTTGTTGACGACACATCGCTCTGCGAGGCTCATGCCCAGCAGAACTCCATATCCAAGTGGAGGGCTAAGGCGCGCGAGCAGGAGCTGGAGCTCTCTGCCGACGCAGCGCGGCCCAAGGCACATTCCATAGCAGTTTCGCGTAGTGGCAGAGACAACGAAGGCGGCGAATTCCTTTTTGACAGCACGTCGCAAGCCAGCCCAGGCGCTCGACTGAGCGCGCGCGGCCACGGGGCTCCGATCCGAGAGAAGCAACTGGTTCGACGGCTGTGTCCCTGTGCAGATTGCGCTAAAAGGATTGTCACTTTTGTATGGCCACTCGTCCATCGGTTTCCGTGATCAGAATCTGGTGGGATTCTGCAAGTTTGCAGCCCTGCTCTGCCCCCTCCGCCCTGATTGATTGTAGCCGCGGTCTGGGATTTCAGCCCCGCAGTTTTACGCAGAACAGGCTTCTTCGATCAGGTAGGAGGCGCCATCGTCGTTTCGAATGCTGATGTCAATTGCACCCCTGGCGGGGCCAACAAGCATCGCATATGACAATTTAATCGCGAGCGCCACCGCGCGGCCCTACGCGCGTCAGGCCACGGCTGTGCGCAGTGCGTCCTGGAAGCCCCGAGTTGGGTTGTCTGTGGAGCTTGTAGGAAATGCCAGCAAGTCGATCACCGCAGTCCCCGAGTTCCCCCCCTCCCCAGGTTTCCCAGAGTGGCAGAGGCCTGGAAAGGCAGCGACTGAAGGGTCCAAGTCCAGCCTGCGCGAGCAGGAGCAAGCGCTAGCCAGGCAACTTGCACGGGACAAAAGGAATGAGCGCGTCACGTCGCGGTTAGGTCGGCCCGATGAGGCCGAGGTCGAGCAGGCCACTTTTCGGGTTGCGGGGGCGAGGTAGGCGAGGGGGCTGCGAGCTCCACTACCCCAAGGGATTCGATGACGAATTCGCCCCGTGGGCGGACGAGCCCAATTTCAGCGCCGCCGCCCCCGCCGCTCCCTTGTCTTGAGCTGGAGAGAGTGCGTCAGTCGATCTGTCGAGCCAGCGTACTATACCCAAATGTGTCAGAGAAGCCCCCCTTAAGGGATCGCGCGCCGCCCAGCGAGGAGCTGGCCCCGGAGCCCCACTGTCGCGCCAGCGAGGCCTTTAGAGACCCCAGCACTTCAGGCTCGGTTCCTTTCGCAATATCTGACGAAACCTGGAGCCAAGTTCGACGCACAATCAGGTTCTCTCCGAACTCGTCACACTCCGCTGCTCCTGCTGTTGCTGCCTCCGCAGCGTTTTGGCCGGGGAATCACTCGCTTTTATTCGCGCGCATCCGTTCCATGTATAGTAGTTGGGTCGGGCGGTGGAACGCGCCATCCATGCCCGCCGCGGGCCGGTCGCGCCAGAGCTCAGCCGGGGCCGCGCTGTCTCCTTCACGGTCAGAGAGGTCCAGCAGGCCAAGCCAGCACGCGAATCCCCACTCCGAGACCGAGAAGCAGGGTGGTGGACGCGAGTGGCTACTATCAGCGAAGGTTTACACGAGCGCCGTCAGCGGCGAAAAAGCGCTAAGCAGTAGGAGCGACTTGCAGCTGCCGCCCGCAGCCTCGCCCAGGAGATCGCTGAAGGAGAATCGTACGTCCTTTGTCGGAAAGATCCTCTTCGGCGGAGCGAGGTCGCGAGACAGCTGGGCGGCATGCGTCGATTGGGCCCAGACGAGCGCCTGCAGTTGGCAGGAGCACCCAGCGTCCTCGCCAGGAGGAGCCCAGATAGAGCAGCTCAGAAGTCCACCAGTGAATTCCGAGAGCGGGCAGGCACAGCCCGCTGTTGGCGCCCTCTGCAAAGCGCTCAAGGAGCAGGTGACCCCCGGAGACGCGCTGGAGGCCGGCACGCGCATTCTGATCCACCCTCGGGGCATCCTCGAGGGAGGCCACGTGGACATCTGCCCCGAGTGACCTCTCCCAGCTGCTAGAGATGTTTCAGGAGATACGTGAATGCGTCAGTTCCGAGGCCCCCCCCCCAGCATTTCAGTCGAAAATCTGCGACAGGCGCTGAGAGGTATCAAGCCAGATGCGGCTCGAGGAGTTGTTCGTGTTCGCAGCAGCGATCACGATCGACTTCCAGACAGCGCCCTTGCATGATGGGCCAGCATTCTATCACTGCGCAAAGAACAGCAGGCGCGGCCACGCCAGGTGACGTTGACCCTGGGAACCCTTCTCCCCAAGAGTGTCTCATGAGATAGAGTCATAGGGCTACCGCAACACCTCCGGCGGCTGTGGTCCAAGGCCCGCGAATGTCACAGCAGGTCTTGGAGTGATCAATGCAAGAGACACTGGGGCGCAGCCGTCCGAGGCAACGCGGCTCTCAGAGAAGTGTTTCCACGTGCCGTCGACGAGGGGCTTGCAGCGCGTTTGGGCGCCTCGATGGGTCGCGCCATGCTCGACGCCGCCAGTTTCTATGGCACGGTCGGTTGGTGTCGCGTGGGGCGAGCAGCATTGCGGTTGAGTTACCCAGCGAAAATATTTGGTCTTGAGCTGCTGCAGCGCATGCATGCTCGGGCCCTGAGGCAGATTGGGGCACGCGGCAGGGCTGGTCAATTGCTTGTACGATACATGCTGGAGATGCAAAAGGCAGGGCCCCATACTTCCTTCAAGAGCGTAGTCCTCTGCACGCACATGGCGGATTCACGCGCCATCGTGAGTCAGCGTGCTCGCAGAGGGCACATGTTACGAGTCGCCACTCAGGCGGCGTACCTGGGGGGCGATTTACCTGGGGGGCGTCGCCATGCACGAGCCATTCGAGTGGGTCGAGCAATCAAGCACAAGCGGATGTCCGCCAAGGTCTAAAGATACGCTCGCACGCTGCGACGCTACAAGTTCTTTGGGCGACTGGAGATAGCCCCCAGACTCACGGGCCGATGCGCCACCACAGCGCTCGACCCACAAGCAGACGGTCGGGGTCCTCAACGCAAGTTTCTTTGTGACGCGTACGATTATGGATTACCACATGGATGACGCAACCATCTATCCACGCTTCCGTGACGGCTACGTGGAAGGCAATGGTTGACGACCCGACGAGTTTACCAGTGGCGGCGTACACGGCGAGCTCGTGGACCTTGGGCGGCTGTCGCACGCTACTTTCTAGACTCAGGTTGGGCGCCACAAGGTCCTGCAGTATGGGCCACCCCAGATGACGAAGGCGAGCGGCAGTTCCCGCCGCACACGGTTACTGGGCACATGAGCATCGATTTCCCAGATTGTTTCATGGATGAATTTCGGGACACTATCCAAGCCAAGGCTTGGCGAGCTGCGGCCGAACACTTCGACGGCGCTGGCATGGGCGAATGCGTTTACAATCAATCACTACGTCGGCTCCACATGGGGCTGCACGACGTTCCTGGAGGACAACGACTGTCGGGGGCCCGATTGAACACAGCGGCAGGCGCTGCCAGGTCTCGGACTCGACGGCGGAACGATCAGGTCATGAGCTCATGCGCCCACGTTGCCTCGAGGGGCGAGCTCAGCCAGAGACGAGTTGTCATCGGATATGGGGGGTGCGAGGGCGCGGACCTGCACCACCCCATCTACAAATCAAGCGAGCACCTCGTCTGAAAAAAAAATGTTTTTTTTCACCGCACGAGAGCGAATCCTGTCGTTGGCTCTGGGGCCTCCAACCCAGCAGCTGGGTCGAAGTTCATGAGGGGTCTTGGGTAAGCGCTTCCCAAGACGAGCCTCCTAACCTAGGTCACGGGACCCCCAGTGAGCCCTTTAATGTTTTCGGGGGTGCCAATGGGGGTAAGGACACCCACAGCACCAAGTTCCGTGGAGTCGGTCTTGGGCTCGCTTCCTTTGCGCTGCAAGAGCCCACGCTGGTCTCTGTAGGCGAATGGGGACCTTTCCCAGGGCGCAGACAAACGGTTGCTCGAGGGGAGTTGTTCTGCCTACTCACATGCCTTCGGCGGTCAAGTGGCCGAGTCTGTTATAGCACAGATACTTCTCATGTGCGCGATGGATGGTCCGAGCGCAGGTGGATCAGACCCGCATGCCCAGACGCTGACCTCCGGTGGCAGGTTGGCCTCGCGTTTGAGAAGCGCGGTTTCCTTGCCTGCTCCGCCCTTTTCGCTCACTCTCACCTCAGTGCCGAGGACATTGCACAGGGCCGTGCCCCAAGGCTCTTAGTCCACGGCGACACCACAGCTGATGAACTTGCCGCGGAGGGTGCCACATGGGCGCGCCTCCCCGAGAATGCGCGCGCACGCATACAGCAGAGTGAGCACACAGCTTTCGCAGTCCACATGCGGATACTCCAGAGCACCTTTGAGGCCCTCAAGGCTGAAGAAGCGGAGTGCCTGAAGCTAGGCATCAAGCGTAGGCAGTCGCTTGTTGTGGTTAGGCCTCCGGCGGCCAGCGCGCGTGCCACTTTCTCTAGCCAGCACTGTCTAGAACACTCCAAGAGCTGTAACAGGTGTCGGGGGTCTGCGTTCGCTGCCACCAGGGCCGCCTGGCTCAAGACCCCCTGTTTCAATCTGGTCAATGTTGATGGGGTCCTCTTGGGGCCTCCTCCTGGGCATTGTGTGCACATCTCGGGGGGGGGGGGTATGTGCATTTGTCACACAGAGCTTTCTTTTACACGGGTCTACAGCTTTGGGATCGTGCTTCATGTGGTTGCTACGCATCTCAGCAGTCGGGTAAACTCGGAAGTGGATGTGCCAATGTTGTGTCGGGCCATCGTACAGATTGCCACAATAATTTCAGCCGCGACATTTGGCCAACTTCTCAAGCAAAGCAGAACGCGCCAAGAAATAGAGGCGCATGAAACACCAGGGGAATAGCTGTTTCCATCGTAACCGACACTGTCGCCATACCCATAGATCCATCGCTCCTCCTCCTCCTCGTACTTCTCCTCCTCCTCCTCCTCCTCCTCGCTCCGCCTCCTCTCCCTTCACCTCCTCCTCTCTCCTTCTCCTCCCCCTCCCCCTCCTGCTCTTCCACCTTCTCCTCTTCCATCTCCTCCTCCTCCTTCTCTTCCTAGTCCTCTTCCTCCGTCCTCCTCCTCCTCCTCCCCCTCCACCCTCCTCCTCTCCTCCTCTCCTCCTCCTCCTCCTCCTCCTCTTCCTCCTCCTCCTCTTCCTCCTCCTCCTCCTCCATTTCCTCCTCCTCCTCCTCTTCCCCCTCTTCCCCTCCTCCCCCCCCTCCTCCATCACCTCCTTTTTCTCCTCCTCCTCCTCCTCCTTCTGTTCCTTCTCCTCCTCCTCATCATCATTATCATCATCACCCCCTCCCCCCCTCCTCCTCCTCCTACTCCTCCTCCACCTCCTCCTCCTCCTCCTCCTTTTCCTCCTCCATCTCTTTCTCTCCTCCTCTTCCTCCTCCTCCTCCTCCTCGGGACGCCTACGGCCCCTGGGGGAGCCGCCCAGGGCAGGGTTCGCACGTGGCTGCCATCCAACGCCAAGAGTGTTTCCAAGAATTGATGTCGAAGGAGCAAGGACTGCATCAGCATACATTGTCGACGGTCCGCGCGGAGTTCTCGGAGCGGCGCTGGCCTCCCTGGCGGCGCCTCTGGCGCCGCCTCTGGCACCGCCGCTGGCGCGTTCCGCGCGCCAGGGAGGCAGTGCCGATCCAAGAAATCTGACCATACGTCCCCAAGGTTATGTTTATGCAGATGTTTGTTCCTCTCGGATCGTTGCACGATTCCCCTCGCAGTCCAGAATTCGACAGCCCCGCCAGCCTCGCGCCGCCGTCGGCTGTTGCCCTTTTGGGGGGCGCGCGGGTGTGCGCTGGAGGCATGTTTGAAGCCTTTGAATTTGAATCTGGTGATTGAGATCAGTGTGCGAGATGGACGGACGTTTGAATTCTGCAGGCGCCCTACTACAGATCGCTGGGCGCTGTGCCGGGAGGCGGGAGGGACGCATGGGCAGGCCTCAGGTAAGTATCAGGGGCAACGTTACGGGGAACCTGGCTCAGGGGGGGTGCATCGACCCCCAATCTTGTGCTGATCCAACCTATTTTAGCCATGACCACCAGAAAGAATTCCGAGCACCAAGGAAGTACCCAAACTGGAGGGTTTTCACGTGTGGGGCCCTGGGAGGCGATATTTGTTCGACACTGTTTCGACACTTTTCTGGAAGCTCGAAATCATTTCAGGGATGTGGTCCTTAAGTACGATGGGAGCAACAAGCCCCAATCGCCCATTCATTACCGTGAAGGGCCCGATGGCCCATCCCCGCCCAGGACCGCTTGGTTTCGCCATCGGGGCATGCCGCCCATCTATCGGCGAGTTACTGCCGACGCCAGCTCGCTGCTTGCCCCCCTGAGCCGGTCCCTCCCCAACGGACGGGCAGGTCGTAGGCAAGTAGCTTCAAGTCGGGCGTGTCCCTCTACAGGAGGAATACCCCAAAATAGTAAAACACATAGTCTTGGGACGATGTTTCTACTATGTTTGAATATGTTGGCGCATTTTTGGGGAATATTTGATTTTTCGGCCCAACTCTGCCTGTAGGGGGACATGCCCGACCTAAAATTAGCTTGCGACGGCGGAGGAGGAGGCGGAGGTGGAGGCGGAGCAGGGGCAGCTCATTCCATCAGGCGTTGCGCCGCGCGGCCGCACTCACGCAGCAAGCCTCGCCCGTCCTTGTCTGTCGGGCCTGCCCAGTCACCCTCCGCCTCCCTCCAGCGCTCCGCGCGGTCCCACTCCGCCGCCCCCCCTTCTCATCGACGGCCTTGTGGACGAGTGCAGGTCTCGGAGGCACCTGAACGGTGCGCTGACCATACGGTGTGGTGAGTCAGTGGGGAGTCGGGGTGACCGCGCGGTTTCGGGACTCGGGCCGTTCTCTGAGGACGTCTCGGGCGGTTGGTGCCTCAGTGGTTTCAAAACCGTGCGGACTTCGGGATCTCAAGGTCACCGCACAGTCTGTCACCACACGTTTTTGCGACCCCCAATTTTGCAGTGCCATCTTCCGTGCTTTAGACGTCCTCGGCAAACGCAGAGGGTTGGGGAAATGCCACCTCTCAAGCAGAGGCAGGATATCGACAGTGGGACGGCAGCGAAGATAGGTGGAACGACAAGGAAAGCAGGGGTGGAGTGCGCATCGTACGCATTCGACTCGGGGCCTTGTCGAGCGCACGGCCGATGGGAGGTCCTGGACACATAGTGCACACCCCACTGGCGATCCGCCCCAGCCTGTTTCAGGAGCATCGTTAGGGTGGGCATAGGAGCCCTGGAGCCCCTGAATCGGCCAGAATCACTAAACCAGGTTTGCAGTAGCGTGTGTTTTTTCGGGTGACGGCGGTTCCGGTTGGTGGAAATGGGACGGGGGGGCGCCCCCAGTACAGATCATTGAACCAGGTTCCCGGAAACCCAGTTCTGCCAACGCCCGAGAAACCCCTAAGGGTCAGGGGTGGACCTAAACGGTGTTTGGCGATTTCGTGGGCTGTTTTCGTTTCGATCTCGTTTTGCGTTATTAAAGGCGGATTGAAGACAAAACGAAGGAAAACAGAAACAAAACGAGAGCGGAAAACACAGTTTAGGTTCAGCCCTGCTGAGGGTCTCTTGTTCGGGGGCAGCGACAGGGGGGGATCTGCACAGTGGGGGCCTCCTCGTGGGGGGGAGCACGCTCATAACCCAAAAGGTCTCCTGCTTCTCCTCGAAGAGGAGACAGCGCCATGAGCATAAACGTTTGGCGCTCCGCGCGGATGTCTCGGATCCGCGCTGGGCCCTCCTGGCAGCGCCTCTGGCGCAGCCCTCGGCGCGCTCCGCGCGCCAGGGAGGGGGGTCGAGCGCAGATCCAAGAAATCCGCGCAGAGCGCCAAAAGTGTATGTTTATGCCGGTGTTTCTTCTAGCTCCGGCGCCCCCGCCGAGCTCTTAGAGGGCAGCCCCCTTCCCCCCCCAGGGCGAGCATCAGCGCCTTGCCTTGCCTTGCCTTGCCTCTCCCCTCCTCCTCCGTTTCCTTCTCCTTGCCTTGCCTTGCCTTGCCTTGCCTTGCCGTGTCTAGGACTTGTCTTCAAATTCTCCCATCCTCCTCTTTTTCCTTCTCCTCCTCCTCCTCCTTCTGCCCTCTCCTCCTCCTTGTTGCCGTCGTCGTCGTCGTCGTTGTCGTCGTTGTTGCGCGGCGGGTGCCGCGCGGGGGGAAAACGAACCACTAGCGTTGTGGCAAAAATCACGACGCGAGGTTTTTCGCTATTTTCAGTCTCGGGGGGCCTTTACCGGGCCTCGATCGTGTTGGGCACAAGCGAAACACATCGCTACACTTGGGAAACGACGCTCCGAGTGGCCCAAGTACAGGCCCTCCGGTCGAAGCCCTACAAGCCGCCACGCAGGTCCCGGGCAGGCTGAGCTGCCCGGCGGAAGGGGAAGACGAGGGGAGAAGCAGGCAGCCGACAATGAACGCGCAGGCGGGAGGCCAGGGCCGGCGGGGCGGGCGGGCAGGCGGAAGAGGGGCCAGACGGAGACAGCAAGCAGGGAGCAGGAAGGGGGTGATGACTGTCGACTATCGGTTGCGAGCGAGGGGGGGAAGTGAGAAGGGGCGGGCCTTCTCAGAAGTCTTGGAAGTCCCCCGGCCTTCTGAGAAGTTTTGTTCTAAGCCTTCCCCGAAGACAGAACAATTATCTCAGAAGGCGCGAGGGTTCCTGACAAGTCCCGCCGCCTTCTGAGAAGGCCTCCTCCTTCTCACTTCCCCCCCTCGCTGGCCCCACTTTTTATATCAATAATGCGTGTTCTGCCCCCCCTGGTCCGCGCACATGCCTCGGGCCATGACTTGCGATCCCCCCTCTTGGACCCGCCCCACGCCCTCGACAGACCTCGGGAGAGGAGAAGATACGGGGGAGCCGGCTGGGGGTCTGGCTACCTTGGAGCCCGCTAGGGGTCTGAGGTGGTCCAACCTTGGTTTCGGTAAGTAGGAGCGGGGAGGGCGTGGGGGCGAGTTTCGAGGTTCCGGGTCCGAGAGGGTGTTTCGCGGCCAGTTTTCGGAACTTGAGACCGTCAAGAATGGATCCAGCGCGAACAACTGCACCAGGTGGACCCCGGAGGGGTCGGAGGACCGATTTTGAACGGACTCGGCCCCGTCCCATCTCTGGATCCATCTCCTGGGCACCAAACAGCTCAGACCCCCGGGCCGCCTCCAACCGCTGCCTCCGTCGTCGCGTCGGCTGGATTCGCTTCGAGATCGCGGTCGGGACGCCGCCCCCCATGAGAGCTCCGTGGAGCAGCGGCATCGGTACCCTCCCTGCCCGGGCTCGCGGCCGAGCTTATGCGCACGGGGCGGCGTTGCACAGATGCCCCGCGCGGATCGCGCCCACCGGGTCGCGCATCCGTGGGCTTCGCGCCTCGGAATCCGGGCCGCTGGGGCACGGAGGCGGACAGGTCCGTCGAGCGCGCACGAGAGCCACCGCGCGTGTCGCCGGTGTCTGACGTCCGTAAATGTTTGAGCGCATGGGAGCAGATGATTGGCGCGACCGTTTGTTCGTTGTCGTGCCAGATTATGCGTCACCATGTGCTGACCACAGGATTCGACGACAGATGTCGGGAAAAGCGGCGTCGAAGGTCTCTTCCTCTGAATCCTTCCCTTTCTTCTCCTCATCCTCCTATTTCACGGATCGCTTCTCCTTTCCCAGACCCGTCTCCCTCACCCTCTCCCAGTCCTCATTCCTTCCGTCTCATCGCCAGTTTTTTCCTCCCCGATCCGTCCTTTGCCTTCCGCCTCCGTGTCCTTGTTCTCCTCCTCGTCCCCCATTCCGCGAGCGAGTGCACCGCAGTGGCGGAACGACGAGCACACCACACATCAGGCCAGCCACAGCTGGGGGAGCTGTGGTCCCTACCCCCCCGGGGGACCCATCTGTTTCGACGCCCCTCTCGAGAGATCGTCGATGCGATGGGTTCCCCCAGGGGGGTAAGGACCACAGCTCCCCCAGTTGTGGCTGGTCGGCATATCCGATGTTCAGAGGCTAAGCAGAGCCCGCCGCCGCCGACAACCCCTCGGGCTGGGGCCGGCCCCGTGGGCGGGGGTGGCACGCGCGAGCGCCACCCGAGAGCCAGACGACGCCTGGGCGTGCCGCCGCCCGGGGGTGGGTCTCCGCCGATCAGTCGGGAGCCTTGAGACGGGGGTCAGTGCAAATGGGGGTCCGCCATAGCTCTGGATCTTGCAGGATCCTGCAGCGCCAAGGGTGCATGGACCCGGGTCTGGGTGCAGGATCCTGCAGGTTCCTTCGCATTGACCCGGGTTTGGGTGCAGGATCTTGCAGGATCTTGCAAGGCCTGACTGACCCGGGTCTGGATTGACCCGGGTCAGAAGATCCCCGAATCAGGCTCTGGTTGGCGGTGGTCTCTGGTTGCTCCTCTCTGAGTTAAGTCGGGTCTGTCCCCCTACAGGCGGGCTCTCGACGAAAAAGTAAAAATACCCCCAACATACCCCAAACAGGTCAAAAGATACCCCCAACATGTTCCCCATATTAATTTTGGACCATTGTTTGATTATGTGTGGGGTATTTTTTACCTTTCGTCGAACATTCCCCTGTAGGGGGACAGGCCCGACTGAATCTCAGATGCTTTGCTTGCGTTCGATTCGGGGTCCCCCCCCCACCTCACGATTCCTCAGGGCCAGCTCTCCGTCCTCGATTCGGGCGGCCGGCACCGGGGGGGGGCAAGACACGCGGTAGAAAGATTTCAGGAGGGATGCTGTTTCTGTGTTTCTCCGTGTAGCTTCACCCCGGCCAACAGTGTTGAAGCAGATTTGTTTTTCGTGGCCCAGCGCCACAACAGAGACTTGTAAAGCAAACGTTTTTGTTCCCTGCCTAGGCTCTGCCTAGAAGGGTTCTTACTCGCTATGCTCAAAGGGCCGGGCAGTGCAAAACGCCCCGAGCGGTTCCCCCGGCATCCGCTCCGCGGTTCCCCCAGTGACGTTCTCTTAGCTCAGCGTTGTTTATCTCATCTTAGCTTAGCTTATTCCATCTTATTTTAGCTTCATCTTAGCTTTGCTTAGCTTCATATAGATGTTGCTTTGCTAGATCCTCCAACTCCTAGGTAGGGTCGCTCTGGGATAATGTTTTCAAGTTTTTGGCGACGATTTTCAAACCCCTCCTCGGGCGCTCTGAAGGCCATCCCCAAGCGGCCCCTGAAACTGCCACCGCGGGTGCCCAGAGGGCGCACGCCTCTTCACCCCAGGATCGCTGCCCCCCCCCGTCGGGGAGCACCCGTGCCGATGCTGGGGGCCTGGGGATCGAGGAGCCGCCAGGATAAGCAGGGTCGGAGGCGGCGAGAGGCAGTCCTAGAGATTGACACCAACACCAAGATCGGCGGAGTGCCTCCACCGAGTGAAGACGATCCCGATCTCGGTCATGGTGGTAATATTCTGGCTTCCAAGGTGACCGAAATATACCACCAACACCGAAATCTAAGATCATCATCTCCCTGTGGAGGCAAACCCCTGTGCTGGTGTTGGTGCCAATTTCCAGGCCTCCAAGCGAGAGGCGCGCAAAGCGCAGGGGAGGGCACGACACGCATTCGCCGGGGAGCCTCGCCGAAGGCATGTACCATCGGCTTCCCTGGATACATGTACGGTCCTCTCCTGAGCTATGAGTTCGGTAGCAAATCATGGGAGCCTTGTGTACCCTCGTAAGTGTGTCTTTAGCGTCGATTAGAGTCGATCAGCGTCTGGGAGTCGACGAGATGTGTCCATTTAGCATCGGTGAGCGTCGATTAGCGTCGATTTAGCGTCGATCTAGCGTCGATTAGCATCGACTGTCGTCGATTAGCGTCGATTCCCCAGCGCGGACAAGATGGTGTGGGAGGCTGCCATGAGTTGCCACCGAAGGGCATGCGGGCTCCAGGAGATCGCCGGCGCCCAGAGCATCAGCGCCGCCTCTGGCGTGATCTTCGGGCTGGCGGTGGGCTACTCCTCGTGCGCCCTGCTGGTGGGCTGCCCCGCGCGGGTCCCCGCCCGCGGCAGGGTGTCCTGTGGCGGAGCCCAGCGGCGTCTCGAAGGGCATTCTAAGACGCCCCAGCGTGCCTACGGGATGGTGGCGGGTATCTTTCTTGCTCGCAGCATTCCTGCATGGCTTCCCTCGCTTTCCCTGCATTGCGTTCTCTGTGGAGCGTTTCCTGCTTCTCGTGGCTTTGTGATCTGCACGTGGTCTCCGAGGGCTTGGCAGCGCTCGGACGTGTGGATGGTTCCCTTGGCGAGGACCATCGAGGAGCATCTTGGACCTGTCGCAGGGTGGAGGGGCCGAGGAGGCAGGATGTGAGCAGTTGGAGACGCGTTCATGGGAAAGCGGAGAGGGAGGCGGTCTCCTGGCGTCCACGAGCACATGCGCCAAAGGCTATGGAAGGGCGGGCGAGGTACAGAGGCAAGAGAAGAGGGGGGAGGGATCCGCGACCCAGGGGACCAACCGGGATCGGGGAGACAGGCCATCCTGCGAAAAGTGCACGCGCGAGAGCGACACGTGCACGGGGAAGGGACGGCCGAGCGGCGGCAGGGTCCCGAAGGTGCCAGATCTCCACGGGGCCCCCGAGGGTTCAGTCGGGCACGTCCCTCTACGGGAGGAATGTTCAAGAATTGTCAGAAAATAGTCTGCGGGCGATTTGTTTTAACTATTTGTGGCAATTGTTCTAGATTTGTTCAACTATTTTTGATCTCTGTAGGAGAACACGCCCGACCTAGCCCGACGGGGAGACGCGGCGGACGCGGCGGAGGTTCGGTCGAAGCCGCTTCCGGCCCACCCGTTGCACCTTTTCGTCCTCGTGCGCGGCCTCCTGGAGGAGCTTCTCGTCGCCGCGTCGTCCGGATATCTGCCGCGGAGACGCGGCCAGGCTGGGCCCACCCAGGAGGGGTCCGGGGGACGAGTTGGAACATATTTTTGGCTGGGCTCGGGGCGGCCAAGAGGGGGGTGATGACTTGGGGGGTGGAGATCATGGCGTGGACCATGACATCTCCTCAGGTTTCATAGCGCCTCTTTTTATTTCATTGCGTCCTTGCCCCCCTCCTGGGCCGCGCACATGCCGAAGGCCATGATTTGCGCTCCCCCCCCCCTCTGTGAGGCCCCCCTCTTGGCCGCCCCCGAAGGGCAGGGGAGTCGCTGTTGTCTGGGCTCCGTGTTTCGCCGTCGCTCGGGCTTCCAGGGTTCGTGCAGCCGGACCGAGGCATAGCTCCGGAGTTCTCCGTGCTTGCTGGATGTTCTTGTGCATCCTGGAGGGGTACCCTCAGATACTCTTCGTTCTGGCTGGCGGAGGATCTCATGTTCCTGAAAGATGTCGTTCTGTCCGATGATGGACTGTATTGGGGTTTCAGGATGTGGTGTTCCAAGGAGTCGCTCATGCTCGTCCTGCCCGTTCTGGGGTTGGCCGCCCGCGAGTTCTTGGGATGGTTGCCCGCCAGTTCCTGGGATGGTCGCCCGCCACCCCTTGGATCGGCAAAGAGGCTTCCAAGACGGCCCCCAGAGGCCTCCACGTCGGCCTACGGTAGATTCACGTCGTGTCGACCGGCGGCGGCCCGCCAGCAGCGTTCAACGTTGAACGCCGCGGGCGCCCCAGAATCGTTCTTTGTGCAACGATTTGGACGTTTCGGAAACGGCCGATCGCTCAAGGTTGAACGATCCCTGCGGTGCCAGGAACCAACGCCCGGGTCGACACGACGCGAACCTGCCGTGACATACCCTCAAGGAGGGCATCGGAGACGCCGAGAGGAGGGCTCCAGAGCGGCCCAGGAGTGCTGCAAGGAGTGCCCCCAAGGTGCCTCGAGGCAGACCCCGGGCCCCATGTGCCGCCCAGGGAGCCCCCGCGAGGACCCCACGAGGGCCCTGCAGAGTCAGAGTTCAGTGAGTCCCCCAAGGGTTCTTAGCTCAGGAGGGGAAGAAGTACACGGACACACGTAGTAATCGTCAATTCCCAGGAGAATATGGGAAAATGTGGGAAGTGGGGGGGAAGACGAAAACTGAGAAAGTATGGGGAGTCCGGGGATGTGTGTGTATTTATTTGGGTGTCCCTGGGCCCCTTCACTTGCCCAGGGAGCCCCCGCGAGGACCCCCACGAGGGCCTCCAGACTCAGAATTCAGTGAGTCCCCCAAGCGCTTTTAGCTTAGCGTTCTAGCTTTTCCAGCCTGACTGCCGCCCAATATGGACCGAGGAATCCCTCTGACCGCCCCAAGGCGGCCCCGGAGGCCCCAAGGGGGCCCACGAGAGCCCCCCACAGGCCCACCGAGGGCATGAGGACGCCCCAAGAGCGCGTCCGAGAGCCCAAGGTTGCTCCAGAGGCTCCCAAGACGAGACGGCCCGAGCGCACCCCGAGACTGCCCACAGCGGCGCCGAGGCCGGTCGTGAGGCCCCAGCCTGCGCCCAGGGCGCTTCCGCAGAGGACCACTAGAGGACGTGCCCGCCCTTCTCTCGCCCTCGCCGCACGCCGCACGCCGCCCCTCCCTTGTCCTCGCCGATAGAGATCTAGACGTGTGGAACAGGAGGAGGAGGAGGAGGAGGAGTAGGAGGCGGAGGCGGAGGTGGAGGGGGAGGGGGAGGAGGAGGAGGAGGAGGAGGAGGAGGAGGAGGAGGAGGAGG